ATATATTGACGGGATTGTTCATAAGGAGTTCATCCCTCCTGGTCAGACAGTCAGTAAAGAGTTCCATCGCAATGTTCTAAGGCGTTTGAGGGAGAACATGAGGAGAAAACGTCCAGAGAAGTGGCGCATGAACGACTGGGTACTCCACCATGACAACGCACAACCGCATACAGCTTACATTGTGCAGGAATTTTTGGCTAAAAACAAGATATCAGTTGTTCTCCACCCACCGTACTCGCCAGACTTAGCTCCATGCGACTTCTTTCTCTTCCCCAAGATGAAAATCAAGTTGAAGCAGCAAAGATCTGATACAGTTGAGGAAATTCAAGTGGAAACGCAGACGGTACTAAACACCCTAACAAAGAAAGACTTCCAGGATGCATCTGAAAAGTGGCAGAAACGCTGGAATTGGTGTATGCGCTCCCAAGGGGACTACTTTGAAGGTGATGGTGGAGAATAAGATCTAGGTAAGATGTAATAGTTTTTATTAATATATTTCGGGAACTTTTGGATTGCACCACGTATGTGCGAGCTCTCCTCTTCTCCTACATTAGTTGCCTACAATGAACACAGGTTACTTTAAAAATAACCCTTGTAATTATATAGTGCATTAGAATAATTATTTCCTGACTAAAATATTTATTCCCTGAAACTCAGTTTATGTTGTAATTTCATTTTTAATCATTCAGATATCACATTCTGATAAATATCATTTGCCATGATTTGTAAATTTTCAGTAAACATTCCAGTTCTATCAGTAAAAGAAGAAGATTAAGAAATTGATTTTTGGCAGTCCTTTAGAGATGGAGGACAGTTAAATCAGGTTTGTCAGTACGTAAGGGGCAATTAAATCATAAATGTAAAAATTTCAGCATTTGGCTTAACTGGCTATAAGCCTAAATAAAGTGAATATTTTTAGCCTACTATCCTTTCTCTAAGGAAAGGAAGGATTATAAACATCATATGCATATGTCTATCACCCATAATAAATTTATAACATTTTGACAGATTAAACTTTGTATAAATAATGTGCTGCTTAATACTTCTTAATTTCTTACCATCAGAAATACCAACATTCCAGTTATCAGCGAGATAGTACAGTGAGATTTTTTAGTGCCTTACAAATTGTTGAACTTCACAGGCAGGAGGATCAGGTTTTCCTCCCATCAAGTCAGACCTGTGGTGATTCAGACTGCTGGCACACCTACAGCCTAAACACATTAAAAAATTGAGCTTGCCCAGATTATAGGTGATGGAGGAAATGCTGTCTGTTGTTCTGCATAGATTCACATCTGGGGATTTTTAGTTTCGTCCCCCCCCCCCCCCNTAAACTTCCCTTTGGATATTCTCCTTTCGTTCTTCATTTGCATGAGGATTTGATCTATACACTGTTTTACTTTACATATCTGTATAAATGAAAGCAACGCATGTTGAGGCCAGGGAAGCTTGCTGGCCGCAGACCACTACTACAAGTAATAACTGTGTCCCCATACACTCCCAGGAGCGAGTCCTGGATGCCCTTGCTGTATGAGCAGTAATAAGTCTTCTTGGAAGAATGTGTACTGGCATTCTTTATCTGCCTTTCAGAATTAACTGTGTACCTGTACTCATACCACACCATACACCAATTTTGGAATCATGTAGTGAAACCTTGCGTATTAGTCCGAGATTGTGTAGGTCATTGAAAAGTGTCCAGTCCTTCTTGATGTCCTGTTTTTATTGAACATTAAACAAGATGGCAACCACTTGAAGCTATTAACATTCCATTTAATGCCAATAAATGCAATGAACAAGTGGAATTTTATGTGGAGGTAGTTCACAGACATACATATACTTCTTTTATGAAACATTTCTTATGTGTTAACAATTAAAGAAGTGATTTTGGAAGGGCACTTGGAGGTTATCTGAGCAATTTCATATAGACAGGATCTGCAGTAGTGGAAATTATGCCAGAAATGTATGACTAAATTCTGCAGTTATTTGTTTATAGCTCCTGTTAACTGTACCATATAGACTTTAGACTTAAGGGAAGTATTACAGGTTGTTTCAAAAGCTTCTAGTTGGCCCAAAATTATGTGCCACAAACCATATAGAATTAAGATTTGACTGTTTTTATGGCTTTGAAAATATAGGAAAATAAAGTGTAGTCTTCTAGGTTCTGACACTGTGTAGTCTTACCATTTAAACATATGAAATTGACTAGTTTACTGCACATCATCTTGAAAATAACACATCAGATGACTTGAATATGAGTGTATATTCACAGGTAATCTGTGCTTTTCAGTCACTTCAGCATTTCACAGCAATTCCTTTTCACTTTAACTGAATGGCATTTCAATTTGACCTTTCAAAAAAATTCTTTTCCACACAGGAGTCAAGGATTAAATCTCTTATCTTCTGCTTTCCTTCCATAGGTTTCATCACAGATGACCTTATAAACCTTGAGGTAAACAGGAATCAGAAGAAATATTTTGGAGTCTGTCGTCTACCCGGGGAAAACCAGAAAGTAACTTCTGTTCACTAGCCTAATATGAAATCTTTGTCTGTATTTTCTCCCATTTCCTCTGTTTTTCATTGCCAGGAGACCATTAATTGCATAATGCTTATATCAGTCTGTTTCAAATGTACAGATATATCCACATCACATCAGTATGCATCAGTACAATACTAAATAAGAGAAAAGTTGTGTAATGTATGCTTTTCTTTCTGTTATCTGAATTTATTGCAGCCTACTAATTTTCATGTGGCAGTTGATATGTTAAAAGTTCCTGGTTATTGTTTACATTGTTTATGAAATTTAAAATGGATGCACGTAGAAGATGAACCTAATATACTCTAGTTACAGGCATTAAGTAAGAATTTATTGAAGGCATGGTATAAGAAGTGTATTAATTTTTCACCATCTTTTATTTTACAAAAAGCGTAGGCATAGAACGGGTAATAACAGTGTGAAGAGACTTGGCAGACCTAGACATAGATAGAAGGATGCATTAAAATAACTTTTAAATAAATAGGTTATGATGATGCAAATTTAATTAAACTGGCATGGTGCTAGGTCAGATGTTACACTATTGTGATAGCATTGAGGATCCTTCAGATTCTATAACAGAGTATGCCCAAACAAGTAGAGAAGCTATTAACTGCTCACAGAAGACCCTATACCTTAAAATTAGCTATAAGAAAACATGACAGGCCCTTCAACACCCACCACAAGTTACTTAGCTGTGCCTCAAGTCTAAAGTCATCAACTGAATATTCCAGTTTATAGAGAAAAGTAAATTGTTCCGTATTGTTTCAGCACCGCAGGCTGGATATTTTTCTTGTACCTCAGTCAGAATATGCAACAGCTCTGATGCATTACACTGGTTCAGCTCTGTTCAATCGTTCGTCTCCTGGCCACTCACAAGGGAATGAGCTTATCAGAACATTGTCTACTGGCAGGAGTTGTAAGAAAGGTATGCCTTTGTGATATCAACTGCCAGTCAGATATTTTTATTGTAAAAAAATACATATTTTCTCCCCACCTGTAATACATTACTGTTCCACTGTTATATTGTCTGATTATGAAATAATAAAGCTCTGGTCAGTCATTGTGAGGAAAGAAGAAAATTACATTTGCATGAAAATGAAATACTGAATAAAATATATGGACCTTAAAGGGATGAAATGTGTGCACACGTTAGTATAGTAAAATCCAGGATGTCAGGTACACTGAAATCAGTAGCAAGAAAATGAGCAAGCATGAGATATTCATTAGGTGTACAGGATGTTAGATGGAACACCAAGCTGTGTGATGGTTTGTATATTTATCTGTGGAAAATGGAATTACAATTATAATTTAGGAACTGACTGTTTCATGCATAGAGTTGTGTCAGCAGTTCAGAAGACATGATTCATTAGAGACAGAACTTCATGTATCATGATATTAAGAGGTTGTTGAATTGTTGTTGTTATTTTGAATATGCATACCTGAGCTTGAGAATTGAAGTAATGATGTGAAGGACAGTTTTTATGATGAACTGAAGTGTGTATTCAGTGAATATTTTGCTGTGGGGTTTGAGTGCAAAAGTAGTAAGAGAAAGTATTTTCAGACCAAACTAGGAGGGGAGTTTGAATGAAATTTGTAGCAAAAATAGCATTAGAATAATAAACTTTGACTTCAGAAAAGTCTAATTGTTAAGAGTACAGCATCCCACATCACAACATAGTAATTGCACCTTCAGCTTTTCCAGTCAGGAACATGGAGGCAGTTTGGTCGTGTTTTGACAGGTAAAAGATGTCTCATATATGACAGACATCTAATATTGTGCTATTATGTCGATTATGTTCCAGTTGCTAAGGTTAATGAAGTGGGTGGAAATATGAATGCCATGAAGAAAAGCACAGAAACTATTAGATGGCAATAATGAGATTGACCTTGAAAAAGAAAAAAGATAGATCTGTATGTATACTTCATCAGAATCTGTTGTTTTCCTGCATCCTAATTAAGAAAAATAAGACTAAAATATACAGAACTGTAATTTTACCCAGTAAGGTAATTTATATGGATCTGAAACTTGGTCTCTCACCCAAAGGGAAGGAGATAGAGTGAAGATGTATGAGAACATTTTGTGGAAGAAAATATGCTGATCTAAGAGAAAGAAAGAAATAGAAGATTGGAGAAAACTGCATAATAAGGAAATTCATAATTTTTACTCCTTACCAAATATTATTAGCATAATAAAATAAATAGGGATGATATTGGCAGTACAGGCAGTATGCAGAATGTTTGTCAGAAAAACTGAAGGGAAGATTCCAGTTGGGAGTGCTGGGGGAACATGAGATGATAATATTAAAATGGTTTCTAAAGAAGTAGCATGTGAAGTTGTAGACTGTAGTCACCTGAGACCACTGACAGGCATAGGTAATTAATCTTTTGCTTTCATAAAAATATCTTGTCCCACTGAGCTACTTGCAGGTTCTCAACAAGGACCTTGCACCATGTATAGAATGACTCGACTCAGACCAGTGAAACAAACAAAAACTCAGGTTTTGCAGGATACCCTGCTCCTGTAGAAAAGTGCAAATCAATCAAACTGGCTATTGTCTCTCCACTAAGATTTTAAAACACATCAAAGACTGCAAACCAGAGTACCAGTGAACAGCAGTAGCTGAATCCTTCACCAAGATCAAACACAGCATAGACTTCAATAAAAGTGAAACCTTATGGCAGACATCCACCACACATGCATCTTCAGAAAAGCCATAAAAATAGTCCAGCAGTCCCACAATTTCAACCATAAAGATGGATACAAGCTGAGAAAACATGAGTGAGGAATAATATCCACCGGCTGGAACGAGTTTAATGTTGTAGCGTGTAGACCCATTACTAGGTAGTGACCACAAAACAAATAGATTCCCATGGCAACAAGTCCAGTGCGACAATAGAGGAGCTCTTGGAAATATTGTTTTCTACATGGTCCATGCCAAGGGGTTATCAATGGAACAAGTTTAGTTCGGTTGTGAAACGGTGGCCAGCCAACAGTGGCATGAGCATGGAAACTGAAGAAGCTCCAGTGTTAGAAGCTGTTACTAGAAAACAACTGGTGAAGACACAGCAAACTAAAGAGTCTTGGCATGTGCCATAGTGATTTGTAAAATGTGGAGATCAGCAATAGCACTATAAATAAGGGTCGTCGTGAGTTGTGTGTTAAAGTCATCAGTAAATCCAACTTCCAATCCAAACCCCATCTGTAGTCACTCCCTCTCATGACAGTGTGGAAGATTGCCTTTGCGTGTTTCCGCCACTACTGGCCATAATCAGAATGCATAGCTGACACTACAAAGAAATACTTTTAGATGTATGATAAACATAGATTGTCATGAAGGGATTAGTACCATTAGAAATTTAGACTAGACTAAAACATTAATGTAATGGAAACAAGTTATATTTGTTAAAAATAATTAGTTAAAGTTAATTAAATATCTTGTGGTATAAGTATGTGAACACTATGGCCTTCACTGGGATACCCACGCATACAGATGGACACAGCCACTTACATAGGATATTCCATGTAACCAGCAGTAGAAAAATAAGGCCACTGTTATGTTTATTTACTTAGAAAATAAGACCTTTAAATAATTTTAACAGATACTGGCTAATTATTTTTAACAAACATAATTTAACGTCAATTATTTAGTGTCCGTCAGTATTGCAACACTTGTTTATTCACCTCTTAATCTTAATTTTAGTTTAACATTTTACACTTTGACACAACATGTTTCAGCCCCAAATAGCCATCTTCAGGTGTCTTGATATGTTACAAATATTTTATTAAATTATGTTAAAACTGCTACACTGTATTAGTTCATGTTAAAATCACACACTGTAGTTCTCTTTTCAAGGTAAAACAAGATAAAATTTATTAAAATTTCTGTTAACCCCCACGTTATTTTGGTGCACTGTGTTTCGCCTAACAAGGGGTGTCATCCATAGTTCATAAATGTATGATTGTCCCAGGTGTTTCATTATGGCAACTTGCCCTTCACATTCATAGCCTACTTTTCAGTTATGTCTGTAATCTTTAATTTATAAGATCCCAAGGTTAATGTTGTTTTCTAATTGTTTGCTATTGTTATTATGTAATGTTTGTTTACTTTATACTCACATGCCCCTGGTTTGCATGTTTCCTCCACAGCATGTGGTGTTGTCTTTACAAGTACGGATGCGGTGTGTTTGTTCCTGTATTTATATGCCCTGGTTGTGAGGAGGGTATAGTGTTGTGTAATTTTGTATAGTACTTGAAATATAGGGTTGTGTGTGTTGACGTTGGTGTCATTCATATGTAAATCTTTTTTACTAGTTTTGTAAATATGGTATTTCTCAAATGTATTTAGATATTTTCCATTTCTCCCCATTGTTAAGATTTCCATAGTGTCTGCTATTGTACTGTATGTGTTTCCAATGTTCAATATATGACTTGAATATCCGGAGTTACTATTGTTACTTTTTATGTCGTGAATGTGTTCTTTATATCTGGTCTTGAATGATCTTCCAGTTTGTCCGATATACTTTAATGGGCAATCTAGACATTTCATTTGATAAATTCCATTTCTCTTATACTTATTTATTTGTGGCTGTGGTTTTAGTATGTTTTGTATTGTGTTCCGCATATGGAAGGTCACTTTTATTTCTGTGTCTCAAAAAAGTTTTGTGATTGCTCTTACTTCCTTACCGCTGTGCGTGAACGCAACCCAGTTTGTTTTTTGTTGCTGTGGGTCTGCATGTGTATTTTGTTTTACTTTTTCTGTGGGAGTATGTTGCTGGTTAAATTTTGGTTAAATTTATGTCGTACTTGCTATTACGTAGTATATTTTGAATGGTGTTCATTTCTGTGTCTTTTTGCCTTTCCTGTCATTGGATATGTATATAATCGATTTAGTAAGTAGTTAATGCCGGATAGTCTGTGTTTGTGTGGGTGGCATGAACTATTTGGTATTATAATGTCAGTTTGTGTAGGTTTTCGATATATTGCAAATTATCTTGTCTTACCTTGTAAAGAGAACTACAGCGTGTGATTTTAACATGAACTAATACAGTGTAACAGTTTTAACGTAATTTAATAAAATATTTGTAACATGTCAAGACACCTAAAGATGGCCATTTGGGGCCAAAACATGTTGTGTCAAAGTGTAAAATGTTAAACTATACGTAAAATTAGGATTAAGTGGTGAATAAACAAGTGTTGCAATGTTGACAGACAATAAAGAATGGACGTTAAGTTAAACAATTGCAAAATGATGTTGAAATACAGAAAAACATAATTTGTTTTAATTACCTTAATATTTTAGTCTAGTCTAGATTTCAAAGGGTAGTAATCCTTTTATTGTAACCTATGTTCATCATACATGTAAAGTATTTCTTTGTAGTGATCCGTATGCCTCCTGATGGTGGCCAGTAGTGACTGAAACATGTAAAGGCAATCTTTCATAATAAACTTCTTGCATTTGATGGACATTACCATTCATTCATGTATTGACAGCTCAAGATGTCTCTTATAAAGAAGCTGAGCAGTATCTGGCTTTATCAGTTTTCCTCCCACCCTCCTTAACCACATGGCCCCTTCCCAATGGATAGCACCACACTCTACTCTCCTACCCTTGCTCCCATTACAAAACCTATATATCAGTCCACATCCTTCTACCTTATGTTCACTTTGAAGATAGTGACTACAGTTTATCCTGAAACATTGGAAGAGCTTACACAACTAAATCCTCAAAGTTACACATCAAAACTGATCTTAGAGAATTATGCTGTGAAGATGGATGGTGGGTGTAGCTGACTTGAGAATTGTTCCAGTGTTGGGGGTGTTTGTATTAACATGTTGAGACTTCAGGCTTTGCTGCCAAATCTGCTTAGGACTGACAGAGTTGTAACACTTTACTAAAGAAAGGTATAGATATTTTGAATCTGTTCCTTGTAAATGTACCTTGACACATTAGTATCTATTCTAGTGCATTTACACCCAAATGTTTTACTTAATGCACAGTCATTTATTCATCTTTCACTGAGATGTCTTTTCATGCACTTACCAATATTATTCTTATTTTAGGGGAGGGACATACTGAATGATGGGTACATCGTGCCAACTCCAACTGAAGAGTCCATATTCAGACTTCTAGAAATTAAATACCGTCCTCCAGAAGAGCGGGATCACTAGTTATGTACAGCAATCTTTTGTCAGCCATGAATTTCAAGTATCCTAGTGCTCCATTTATATCCAACTTTGGCAGTCATGGTGTTTGGTGTTATGTATCAGCTGGTTTTTAATTTGTGTTCACATTGAAAAAATCAATGGCTTCCATGTTAAGAGACCCACATTTGCTGGGGATGGGATTGTAAATGCATCTGCGCCCGATTTTCAAACTTCCAGATTACTTTTGTGACACAGTTTTTTATTTTATGTTTATTTTCAAATATGTTACTACATAATTTTTGTGTCTAAAGAAGCAGGAGGTAACTTTGATGACTGTTAACAGAGACCAAGGGTCTCCAAACCCTCAAGTTTCCCATATGATTGCTTGGTATATGTACACAAACAGTTTAGTCCAGCTCTTCATGTGGTTCCTGGTTCAACCACTTCTATTTCATGTCCTTCCACTACATGAAATGATTCAGTCTCACAAGGACCATCATCACCATCATCAGCCACATAGAGAGCTGCACTGAAGAATATGTTTTTAATGTGTGTGTGTGTGTGTGTGTGTGTGTGTGTGCATGCGTGCATATGGGGGGGGGTGCTTTAAAATTTCAATTTATGTCAAAAATGTTATCATTATTTGTGTATTTGTAGATCTCCTACGGGTAATTTTTCTCATTTTTAAATCAGCTGGAATTACTATTAAATAAAGCGTATAAAGCATCAAATGAGTTCAATGTAAATTATTTAAATGCTAATACTAGGAAAGATTGTTTAAACTCACTTTTAGCTTCCTTTAATCTTTACAGTATAATTAATTTCCCCACAAGAATTTCTAATAATTCTTGTACTTTAATAGATAATATCTATATTAATAGCTACTTACATGGATTCTCTGTGCATCCTCTTATTAACAGGCTCTGACCATGATGCTCAGGTCATTGTTTTGAATAATATTACTGTTCTAGGCCATGAAACAGATATTTTATTACAAAAGAGTTATTAATAGTTATACTATAGGTCAATGTTTATTTTTGTTAAGTTAAAGTAAGAACAAGAATATTAGAGACCTGTATAAAGGAATAAATGACCTTAAAAGGGGTTACCAGCCTAGCAGTAACTTAGTGAAGGATGAGAATGGTGATCTGCTTGCAGATTCCCAAAACATTTTGAATAGGTAGAGGAACTACTACTCTCAGTTATTGGATGTACACAGGGTCAGTGATGTTAGGCAGACAGAAATCGTTACAGCTGAGCCGTTAATACCTGATCCTAGCCCTACTGAGGTTGAAAGTGCTATTGCAAAATTGAAACGGTATAAATCCCCAGGTAATGATGAAATTCTGGCAGAACTTATTCAAGCAGGAGGCAAAATGTTATGTTCTAAGATCCACAATCTAATTACCTCTATTTGGCATAAAGAAAAATTGCCTGATCAGTGGAAGGAGTCTGTTATTGTACCAGTTCACAAGAAGGGTGATAAAACTGACTGTAGTAATTAATGGGGGTATCACTCCTATCAACTTCATATAAAATTTTATCCAATATTCTTCTTTCAAGGTTAAATCCATATATAGATGAAATTATTTGGATCATCAATGTGGGTTTCAATGTAAGAGATCAACTACAGATCAGATCTTTTGCATTCGTCAGATATTGGAGAAAAAATGGGAGTACGATGAGACAGTACATCAGCTATTCATAGACTTCAAGAAAGCCTATGATTCAGTTAGGAGGGAAGTATTGTACAATATTCTGATAGAGTTTGAGATACTCATGAAACTAGTTAGGTTGATTAAAATGTGTTTAAACGAAACATATAGTAAAGTCCATGTAGGTAAACATTTGTCTGATAAATTTCCTATTCAGAATGGTCTAAAACAAGGAGATGCTTTATCGCCACTCCTTTTCAACTTTGCCTTAGAATATGCAATTAGGAAGGTCCAGGGAAACCAGGTGGGACTGAAACTAAACGGGACACATCAGCTGTTGGTCTACGCCAATGATGTGAATCTACTGGGTGATAATGTAAATACCATAAAGAAAAACACACAAACTTCAATTGATGCAAGTAAAGAGGTTGGTCTAGAAGTAAACACAGAGAAAACTAAGTATATGTTACTGTCTCATCACCAAAATGCAGGGCAAAATCATGGCATAGAGATAGGAAACAGATATTTTGAAAATGTGGCACAGTTCAGATATTTGGGAACAACGATAACAGATCGAAACCTGATTCAGGAGGAAATTAAGAGGCNTAACTTGTACTCTTCTCCGAGTATAATTAGAATGATCAAGTCAAGAAGGATGAGGTGGGCAGGGCATGTAGCACGAATGGCGGAGACGAGGAATGCGTATAGGATATTGGTGGGAAAGTCAGAAGGAAAGAGACCACAGGGAAGACCAAGGCGTAGGTGCATGGACAATATTAGAATGGATCTTAGAGAGATAGGATGGGATGGTATGGTATGGATTTGATAGATCTGGCTAAGGATAGGTACCAGTGGAGGGCTCTTGTGAACACGGTGATGAACCTTCGGGTTCCATAAAATTCTGGGAAATTCTCGAGTAGCTGCAGAATTGGCAGCTCCTCCAGAAGGGCTCAACTCCGTGAGTAAGTGAGTAAGTAAGAAGCACGAACTCCTTATGTGATTGTGAAATACTTTTGACCCAGACCAGCCACCTATAATGTATAAGCAGAATTTACGTGGATGCTCCGCTTTCTGTATGCTTCAAAAAAGAAAAGCATATAGTGATGCAGTTTTTGTGGGCTTAAAGTGTAGTAGGGGCAGAAATCCATTTGCGGACTTACAGCACAATATGTTTGAATGGAGTACCATGTTCAAAAATGATCGCACAAGTGTCACTGAAAAACAATCGGGACGGCCATCGACATCCACCACAGGGGAAGATAATGGTTCTGGATAATCAATGGGTGACTGTCAATGAAGTGGCACATCAGTTGTGCATCAGTCATGGTTTTGCTCATGAATCATCTGAGACTGACTTGAGTTTCATAAAGTTTATGCAAGATGAGTTAAAACCAACTCACTGGAGAGCACAAGCACAATTATCTGACAATATCCCAAGGCCTATTGAACTACCATTGTAACGAAAGTGACGCATTTTTTGTAATGCTTTGTCCCTGGGGCCGAGATTTGGATCTACCCTTACAATCCAGAAAGCAGACACCAGATTGTGTAATGGAAACATCCAGCATCACCTGACAAAAAGAAGTTTATAATTCAACTGTTGACAATTTTGCACTAAAGCAAGTTTTGGAACACTACCAAGAGATGGACACAACACTAAACAGTTTATAATGCAGTGCCATGCTTCAAGACCAGTTGAAACCAGCTATTTGAACAAGACACTGAGGACTGTTGTCAGTAAATGTGGCAATGTTGCAGGAGGATGTACTTCCACACGTTGCCCCCCTGCACTGTTCAAAGCCTCTATCGACTGAGCTTTAAGGTGCTGAAGCATCCTCTGCATCAAAGGTAAATAAGGTTCTGGCTCGTTCTAACCATCACCTGTTTGGTCCACCCAGACACACTTGGAGATGCTGCCAATTCACCAGTGGCCAAGAAGTGACACACACAATGCATGTGTGGTTCATCATTCAACCAAAAACATTCTTTCTGAGGGAATACAGAAGCTCATGGACCACTGGACTAAGTGTATTGAAAAGGACAGGGACTCTACTTAAAAGTGGTGCTATTGTACATACTCGTAACTGTATTGTTTAATAAAAATAAATGATATGTATAATCTTAGTGGGGTTTACCAACTACAATGCGCTGACTGTCCATTAAAGTATGTAGAAAAGACCGGACATACCTTTAAGGTCAGATTCAGAGAACACGTATGAGACATAAAAAATAATGGACAAAGCTCCAAATTTGCTCAACATATATTGGACACTACACATGAATATAGTACAATAGACAAAACACTAGAAGTTCTATATATCGGCAAGAAAGGCCAAACCTTGAATACATATGAATGATTTCACATTTATGAAATCAGCAAACTAAATCTGCAACTGAATAATAATTTTACCGAAATGTTTAACTCTATATGTGACGTAATAATTGATACATACAAAACATAATATACAGTCATACCCCCTTCCCCCTTGCCACCACTTCGGCATACCTCTACCTCCCCCCTCCCACCCTTCCATTGACTTTAATCTTACATCACCAAATCAGTCTTTGTTTACATTCCCTATAGAACAGACAATATTTTGTAACATGAGGCACCAACTAAATAATTAACATTAATATTACTACATCTACATCACGAGCCTCCACTAACAGTTTATTATACATACACAAAATATATTGTAGCGTGTTTGTGTGTCACGCTACAAATAAGTTCACGCCGTTGTCCCAGTATAGCGGATTTATTCCTTTCGCTCACACTTTACAGGCATTTACACTTGCAGTGTCACAATCACTGCTTACAATATCTGGCGAGGCACTGGACTCTCTTCTCCGAAGGCTGGCCCAAGACTTTCTTCTCCGGAGGCTTGATCCCGGCTGGCCTCTTAGCTGGCCCGATGAAGACTGACTCTCTCTCGCAGTTATAGCAGTGGAAACGTCGCTTTGTTGGCTCCGCGTTTCCTACGCAATAACCCATTGTTATCGCGTTGTCTCTGTGGGAACGCTACGCTTGTTTGTCGTAACCGTGGAGATTCGATGTTCTCGATGCAACGGCTCACTGTTGGAATTACAGTATCGCTATTGTTACTTCTTATGCAACGGTCTGTTCTAGCGTTTCCATAGAAGTGACTCCTCTGGATTCCAGACACGTTACATTGCTCCCTTCTAAAGGTCGTTCGTCCCCGAACGGCCCAAAGGTTCTCCCTCGGTTTCGATCCCGCGGTGTTAACTAGCAACGTCTTCATTCGGCCTTGTCGTTCTGCCGGCGTCTTCGTGTGGTGTTCGCCTAACCGTATCCGCCCCTCTCTTCAGTTGTGCTCGTCCCAAGCATTTCCCAAGTCCAGAATTTGTCGGTCGCCTTGTTTCACATTCGTTCCTTACTTACATTCTTCATGCATACTTGCTGGGGAGGCCGGCACCTTACCGGTTCCTCCCATAATGGCCGGTTCCCTTTTTCCGTTTTGGAGGGGGTCGACCCCTCCACAAGGTCCAGTCTTTGTTTCGGCGTAGGCCGGCGGGGGATTTGGCTATACCGTTTGCGGCTTTCCTCCCTTTCCTCGGATGTAGAGGCTCCTCTACGTCTCGGCTCCTTACGCCCTTGCTGCATTCCTTTTTCGTCTGATGTCCCCTCCACAGTGTCCAGTGTCTAGTTTTCGGTAACTCGCTGGGAAGTCCCGCTGGTAACTTCACAAGTTTTAACCCGATGATTTTCCTGAGTGTCCGGCTGGCTGTCCTCTCGTTCCTTGGGTGCGGCCGCTGAAGTCTTCGCCATTTAGGGGCTCCCCTTGCAACGTTGTTCCAAGTTGGGTTGGTCCCCATGATGTGTCCCCTACGTCGTGCTACTTTTGCACGGAGGGACATCCTCTTGTTTATTGGCGTTCTCCGTGCCGCTTTCCCTCGGCGTCTTGTCTCTCGGGCGACGGCCAATTCTTTACGCTGGCATCCGAAGGTTCCCTTGGGAGTTTCCTTCTTGGAGTCGTTTCTCCACTGTCGCGCGACGGGATGTCCTTCTGTTTTCTGCCTGCCGTGCCACTTCCGCACGGCGTGTTGTCACTCGGGCG